CTACTACATTGAAATGGACAATGTCTTGGTTTGGAGAAATTTTAAAAAGTTGAGCAAAGCCAAAAGAAGAAAACTGGGCAAGGCATCGAGAACGCGTATGATTCAGTCCATTAAGTCGAGCTAAAAACTATAAAAAAAAATACTTACTGGGAGACAACTAGGGATGGCAAAAAAATCTGACACTCGCGGGCCCTCCCCAAACGGGGCGAGGACGGGACGAGACGGGTATGGGTAATGAGTGCCCGGTCCCGCCCCGTTTAATTGTTTTAATTTGTTTTTAGAATTCAATACTTTAAATGAAAAAATTCACGAAATCAAATAATAAAAGCCTTGGTTTACCAAATATATTTGAATAATTAAACTTTTAAAAATAAATAAAGATTAAAAATATATTATTGTCTCACTCTACTGAATGGTGGCAATAAAATGAATTATCAGAAACTTAAAAAAAATTTAAACGGGACAGTAAATGGGACAAGGGCCTAGTCCCGCCCTAACCCGACCTGCCCCTCCTTAAATGGGTGACGGGGAGGGGACAGGGTGGGAAATTGCTTGGCGGGGGGTGGGGGAGGTTTTCCCGACCTCGCCTCGGCCAGTTACCATCCCTAGAGACAACCCAGTTCTCTAAAAACTATAAAAAGTCCTACATTTTCTTCTTTTTATTTGATCTGCTATCTTTTTTGTAGGTAAGTTTTGAAGCTCCATATATCCATGGTTCCTATCAAGTTTGGGGATAGACTGTTGTACAAGAAGGTCACTTGCCCAAGTTCGTTGAAAGCATCACAAGTCTTAGTCAAGCATTGATACCCTTTCACCAAATGTCCAATTGGGGAAGTCTCATTAACCTCCCCCCTTACCTTTTGTCTTGTTCTTTTCCATATTGAGGACAATGTGTGGTTTAAGTTTTGGGGGGTTTTATTGAGTGTCTTTTGCTAACAAATATAAGCTAAGTAATGACCATATGCTAGGGATCTAAGCTCCATGTATTGTTGTACTTTAAAACATCATTGCACTTGTTGAATTCTTACCTCACTCCATAGCCTCTTTTACTCAAGCTATTAAGTCCGTAGGGGTATCTTAAAATCCGGTACCCTTTGGTCTAAAAAATCAAGGAGTTATTGACTTAAAACTCGTTACAGGGGTCAAGAAGAAAACTTAAGGGTGTGAGGTCAATTATAAGCTTTAATTGGAAAATTTGATGGAGATTGTGTAAATGTATTTGATGTTTGGATTTAAATAATTAGTGAGTTTGAATTACTTAGTATAATGTTAAATGTTGAAGTACTCAATTAGTAGAGAATCATCACATGACCAGATATTGAGATTACTAGTTAGACCTAACTAAATTAGAGTGGGAAAAGAAAATAGTGATTTGAGAACCTTTAGAATTACACCCGGGGAAAGAAAATGAACATCTATATGAGGGTGTGAATTTTATGAGTGAGAATCGAATAATCTAAAACTATTTCTGCTACCACTATTTAGAGCATATTAGTGAATTGATAATACAATTTTGTACGTATTGATTTTCTTGGCAAGCTATCTAATGTACTGATCATTATCATATGTTGTTTGATTGTGTTGTAGATAATTTTTTTCGAGACGAGCATGAACTTAAGTTTGGGGTATTGATAAGTGTGTTTTACACACTTAATAAATATCTAAATGCAGTGACCGAGAAAATGAATAAAATAAAAGCTTGTATTTCATTTTAAAATAATATTCTTGTATAAATCGAAAAATAACTTGAGTTATATTATTAAGTCGCTGCGATCCTTCCTAAGATTTCAAATTAAAGTTTTGGTCATGATAGTAAAGTTTTGCGCACTTGTTGTTTTTTTTTTATTTTTTTTTTGTAAGGTATCGGATTTCTCTTAAACGATAATTTTTTTTTATGTTGACGACACACGTTAGATTAACTTTTGCATACTTGTTTAGGACTTAAATTTTAAAAATTAGATAAACCGGATATGGTGTACCAAAGGACGACCCCTAATTCATCTCCATTTATTTCTTAATTTATTCCATCAACCTGACTTTTCATTTTCCTCCATTATATTTATCATTTGAATCATCCATTAGAGCCATAACTGTTTGAATCATTTAGAATCCATTATGTTGATCATCAAAAGGAAGAAAAACTGTCATTCAAATGACAAAGTAATTTGCACGTCACTTTCCACCATTTATACCCATTAAACATTTCATTTACAATTTTAAGACCCACTAATTAAAAACCATTATGATAATTATTTTTTAAAAAAAACTTCCATTTCAATTGAAAAGTTAGAGTGCACTCGTTACCTCATAAATCTACCAATTAATTACCTAATAAATATTCCATATTTGTTTTACTCCCATATTGATTATTGCCAATTGCCACTTGCATTTTGTGTTTGATAAGCAATAATTTTCTACAACCCCTAAGGCCATGTTTTCTCTCCCAAACTAAAATACTTGTACAGAAAATCATTTGCCCTTTTTCCCATAGACTTAAGGTACCTTGAATTTGAAAATTTTCGGAAGGAAAGACTAAGAGTACGCTGCATTTTACTACATATTGAACATCAAAGGATATTCAAACTACAAGTGCTTAAGATATGGATGTTTACGACACTTTTGTATGTAGAGTAAAATTATTTGTTTTCGGTTTGCATTAACGTGTTATTATGTTACTCATGAGATAATAGAAGCACCCTATGGGTGGTTCAAATAAGAGATGAAGAGATGAATTTTGATTCATGAAAAGAGGCTGTTAAAACCTAAGAGTATGCAAACTGGTTGATCACTGGTTCGCTCTACAATTGACGGTGACACAAATAACTAAAGGTTGCAATTCCAAAAACATATTTTTTCTTATGTATTTACTTAAGTGTTTCCTACTGAGTATTACTTGTGATACTCACTCCTACAAAATTTACAAGTTAATTGAAGGCAGGCAAGGGATTGACATGGTGGCAAGTGCTCAACGATTTGAAATGCTTTGAACTTTTAGTAAATTTTTCATTCGTGTAAATCTCTAATGAATCCTTAGACGATGCTTTTAAAATGTTTAATTTTCTGTTTTCGTCTAGTTTTACATATATTGCATGTCAACTATAACTTAGGAAGTTTGGAATGACTATGCATGAAAGTTAATTATTGCTGGATTGAATTTCAAATACTGTCATTCTATTTGAAAATGTAAAACTTGGGCTACGGTACAAGTTTTGGAATGAAATCAGTGGGGTTTCAAAGGTCTATGAGTCTTCTAATAGTAATCTTTGGAATTACTCTAAAATATTATCTAGAAAAAAAGTTATGTCCATTTTGGTAGACTACGACGGTACAAGTTTTAGAGTGAAATCAGTGGGGTTTCAAAGGTCTATGAGTCTTCTAATAGTAATTTTTGGAATTACCCTAAAATATTATCTAAAAAAAAAGTTATGTTCATTTTGGTAGACTGCGTCGAGCCAGTTCCGAATTTTCTGTCAAGCATAGTCGAACAATATTTTTATATTTCAAACATTATCATCGAGACCCCAATTTTTTATATGATGTACGTATATGAATGTTATAATCCCTGTTAAAATTTCATAATTTTTCATCAACATTTGTTAAGTTAAACATATTTTTCTCTTCTCGCTGCTATATAATGGTATTTGCTAAAATTTCTCCAATGTTTTTCAAAAATCAAATTACACCATAATTTTCTAAAGTCTATATGGATATATATCTCCCATTATAATTTTTATATGTTTCAAACTCCAATTTTTTTTTTATTATTTACAATTTATTTTGGTTAGCATTAAAGATGTCAAACAAAGAAGAAGATTTTTTAACTCTTCGAGTTCCGAGAATTTGAGGCGTTATACTAAATAAGCTTAATGTTGACTAAAAGAGCGGGTATTGACTCACAATTGGGTAATTGTGGCTTTTGTAGGTCATAAACCCCAAAAGTAGAGAAAACAAGAACAAATGAAGTGAAAATGGACCAAAATCGTACAAAAAAATTGCACAAGTGTCGAAAGTTGAGGGACTTCGGATGTAATTTATGAAGGGCGTGAATGTAATGAAAGTGAAAATTCAAGGACTAAAATGAGCAAAGTCAAAGCTAAAGGACCTAGCGCGCAATTTCCTAAGGACCAATTGAACATAAAAGGAAAAAGAAAGAGCCCCGCAAGCACGCCTACCGTTCACTTCGATTGGGCCATTTGCTTTTTTTTAGGGACCTTTGTTGCAATTTCTTTGGGATGATTTTAGAGCTTTTTAATTCTATTTCAGCTATAAAAATTTTTTTTATCACCCACCCATTCAAACCTAGAAGAGAGGAGAAACGAGTCAACAAAACGGAAAAGAAAATCAAGCAAAAGATGGGAGATTTTTGGGAAAATCAAAACCAAGCGATATCAACCTTCAAGAATCCGGCAAAGTGTCGGGGTTTATTTATTGTCATGCATTTCTTCTTTTATTTTCCATTCATTTGTAATGTATTCTTTTAATTTCTCCATTTTGTGCTTTTTATATATTATGGACTAAACTTTCAATGTTGGGATGAATGATGAAGCTTAACTTAGCTTATTTAATTTCAATGTTTGCTTATTAATGTTAAAATATTTATTGTCATGTGCATTTATTATTATATTCAATGTCTTGCATTTATTTGGCCAACAAATGTTTGTATTGAGCGATTTGTGCAATCATTGAAAAATTATCGTGCACTTTAGTCTAATATATTAAATGTCCTATGTTCTTATATAGAATAGAGATATATCCACAACTCTAAGTGACTTATTGAGTTATTTTCACAAAAAATTAATGTATTATAACGCGGGATAATTTTGCTAAATATAATTTATTTTGTTTTACATTATTTTCTTTTAAAATTATAAATATGCTATTTATTTATCTAATCTTGTAAAAAATTATGTTGAGGGTCTCGTAATAATTAATCGTCCGAGACCTCAAAATTTCTAGGATTGAACCCTAATTCTACCTTGATGATGATCAGAATTACCCATCTAAGAGGCTACGTATTCAAGTGCTGTAACAATATCACTGATGGCAGGGCGGAAACTTGGTTGTTCCTGAAGACACATTGCAGTAATTGTTACTGCATGATGCAGACTTCGGACGGAGAAACGCCTCTCTAAAAGTGGGTCTGCCATCTGGACAAACTTCTTGTGGTCTTTTAGAAAAGGAAGGAACTGCAAGAAAATAAAATATTCATGTTTAGAATCAAAGCCATATCACTTGAAGATAGAAACAGTGCAGAACCCATTGTTGGACAATTATGTTATGTCACATTTCTAGTATAACAATCTCTTGGAAAAATGAAAATCACCCCATCAGAAGTGGTAAAATTCACATGTTTTGTTAACCTAACTTCCTCTGTCACTGAGAAAAAAGTTGAGTCCAAATGATAAAGGCTCCAAGAGGGCTTCTTGGTAATTTTGCTTAGCCACCTATTAGGACTAATGGATTGCCTGTGTGGTAACCCCTGATTGGTAGCTTGTAGCCTTTTACCAGGATTGTGCTTGTTTGAGGTTCATCTGGCCTCTGGTTTGAGTCGTTTGACATGCGGTTGATATACTTTGTAGACGTTTGGCTCTCTAATTTTCTCTCAAACCTCTCTATTGAATCTTCTTCATTTTCTTTCTAATTTTGTACAATCTCGAGATCTAACCTAGATTCGATTCTTGTAAATTGGTCTTGCTACAGTAAATCACAGACTTGTAACACCCTTGTTTGAACTCAATTATTTGAAAAAAAATGATTTTGTAATAGTTCTTTTTTTAAGAATGCGTGGTTAAAAAAATGAGAATTTTTGGGTTTACGTTAGATAGAGTTTCTTCTCTTATGATCGGGCGAGAATGCGGTTAGCAGCTGAGCTTGATCAAATGGGCTAAGTTATATTATTTTATTGAAAAAATGTGTAGTTGTAAAAGGAGAGAGAAAGATGAATTAAAATTTAACGTGGCCAACACATCAGAATTTCTGTATAGTGTTTAGGATCGTGAATTGTCTCTACGGGTTAGTTTCTTGTTCAAGGGTAATTTTGGTTCTCTGTGCTAAACTATTTTTAGAAGTCTAGTGGAATGGGCTGTTATTTGAACCCTCATGAGCCATTTCAATGTCGTGATACCAGAACCTTTCAAGTTGGATTAGGAAGTGTACCAAATAACAAGTTTGCAGGATATCCTACTTAAACTATGGCTATTAGAATCAAGAATTGAAAAAGTTCTTGTGAGTCCACAACTATATCTCATATGGAGTTCCAAGATAAAACTAAGTTGCATAGACACAAACAAATCGACACAATATTTTTGGATAAAAGATACGGAAGTGTAGGGGACATGTTAATTTAAATTCATTAAAAATTTTCATTCATATATTAGATCTTGATTTATGTAATTATATCTTGGGCATCGATAAATCTAAAATATGTATAAAAAATAAGAACAAGGACATGTGGCTTGTTGGATACATGTCCTTGAGTGTGTGTATTCGACATAACAATATACAACACGTGTCGAATAAAAACACATTGTTTTAGTAAAGTGTCTATGCATCATAGAGATAAAATAACACGTAATGCAGGATAGCTTAAAATATGGCTATAGAATCAAGAATTGAAGAAGTTCTTGGAAGTCCAATCTCACATGGAGTTTTTAGGTTAAATAATATAAACTCACCCACATAATCAGATTCTTCTCTTCTGGCTTTCTGTTGTGATCGATAACCTTACGTCCAGTAATCAGTTCCAACAAAACAACACCAAAGCTATAGATGTCTGAATTTAGAGTCAATTTGCCACTGAAGGCATATTCAGGGGCACAGTATCCATAAGTTCCCACCACTCTTGTCGAAACATGAGTATTCTCACCAACGGGTCCTAGTTTAGAGACTCCAAAATCTGACAGCCGGGCATTGAAGTCATTGTCCAACAATATGTTCGAAGATTTCATATCACGATAAATGACTGGTGGATTTGTTTTGCAGTGAAGATATTCAAGGCCACGAGCTACATCTAAAGCAATCTTCAGCCTTGTGCTCCAATTCAATGGCTTCTGATCAGGCTCTAAATCTGAGTAGGGCCCAAGTTTCGGTAAGATTAGACTAAGAGAATTCAGACTCCAAAAGGGTTGCATAAAGTAATCAAGATTACCAAAGAGAAGACGATCCAGGCTCCCCAGTGGCATGTACTCATACACCAAAAATCTCTGTTCTCCATGAGCACAATATCCAATCAAGTTAACGAGGTTGGGATGGTGCAGCAGGCTTAACATGAATACCTCCACGATAAACTCTTGATTCCCCTGAAGACCTTCGAGATTTAGTTGTTTGACAGCAACAACCTATCGTGAAAATCAAATGATCAGCGTTAGCAGAAGAGTAATCATTTAGAATGCATATTAAAACAGAACTTGCCATGTCAGAATCTAGGAAGCCCTTGTAAACACTTCCAAAACCTCCTTTCCCGATTAAATTAGATTCTCTAAATTTTTGGGTCGCCATTGCAAGTTCTTCGAATGTGAAGGTACGCGTCACGTTGATCTTTTGGCCATTGTTATCTATGCCTCTTGCTCCCACAGAATTTCTCTCCGACGTGCTCTCTGCAGAAATTGATTCAACAAAGATTTAAATCCAGCCCGCATTACATTTTCATCATACGTCTAGTGGCGTACTTCGGTTGAGCTAAGATGAACATTTTCAAGTTTGGAGTAATGATTTTACCACTTGGAGGAACACCCTGATGGTCGCTGCCCCCACGGCCTCCTTTTCCACCGCGATTGGGATCAGCCGCTGAAAGCCCACCGTTCTCATAAATGTTGCTGTTGCTGTTGCTGTTGCTGTTGTGGCGATTTCTGTTCTTTATCAGCTTTGCATCATTATGAGCTGAAAAAATCTAAAAAAGTCATTAATATTTCTGGTACTAAGCATATATTAATGTGTTGTATAGTCTAGCTAGGTTGTTCGAAAACAGAAAACACGAAACAACTAGTGAAATTACTCTCTTGAATCCAAAAGTTTCCAAATTTTATCAGAAATTTTTCTAAAAAAGTATCGGGTGGTTCTCTATCATTTTAGAAGTTTTCGAAGTAGATCGTACCTGGACTAGAACTGATGGTGGTGGGAAGACTATCTACAGGCTTAGGCCAGCAGGTTCCCATCTCTCTCACTATATCTATCTATCTTTTTAGGTGGTGAGGCACAAAGGAATCTACTGGGAGGCCTCACTATATATTGTGCGAAAATTTTGTTGCAAGAATTTATTTTTCATTGACTTCCCTCACCCATCAGCCACATCCAGGCAACTTCTTCCTTTTTCGGTGAAAATGAGATCTTTGCTTTATTCGACTCGAAGATACGTATGCATTTGTAACATGAATTTCCCGGCCTCAACATTACAAGTCATTTCTTCATTTATCATCTATCATCATCACCTCCATTTATTGACTCTGAAATTTGATCCATGAGTACAATTTAAGGCACATTTTGTGAAAATTGCTCTAGTTAAATGACACAATTCAATGTGTAAACACTAGTGTGAATTGGATGCTGCACAAGAGGCAAATACTTGAAAAATGATAGTCATTGGCTATTTCACCATGTCCAATCACTTCATTTGGAAATTGATGAATAAAATTAGGACAAAATGGTGGGTGAGTGGATCGTAACCTTGTTCTGATACCAACTGTCACATCCCATCTTGAATCATTTTAGTCGACTTAAAACGTTATATACACCAATAGTATCGGAACCGCAACCAAGACAAATTTTGTCTAGAAGGGCGGTTGGCACAATACTTATTTAAACGAATTTTGGGCACAATTTTCTTATCTATTGGACATATATCCATTATAGATCAATATTCCATCAATGTAAGATTTATTAACCAAGATAATGCCTAGTTTGAAAATACAAATCTTAAAATTTAATTGTTTGTTTGAGCTTAATGGATTCTAAAAATACCATATTAAGAATTGAAATTTCACCTTAAAATTTAATACTGTTAGAAGGAGTAGATCAAATGTTTGGGGGTGTTTGTTTTTTATTTGAGAATTGATTCTCAAATCAATTTTTATTTTTAACCACACATTTTTCAATAAAATAATATTTTCCATCACATCAATAATTTTTTTCTTTTTCAATCACACATTTCCTATCATATCACTATTAAAAAATCAATTTTTCTCTCAAAAATCTCTATCAAACAAGCACTTTATAAGTAAACTATTTATTTCACGCGTAACAAATTTTGACAGAGACAAAAGAACGCGGGATTGCAAGATCTCTCTCGCTCTCTCTCTTTTACACTGTAAAAAGAAAATCATTATTTAACATTTGAAAAAGCAACTGATTGAACTAAAGTCAAGAATCCACTCGTTTAAAATACAAATTTCCCTGTTTGTCCTCAATTTGTCACTGAAAATTCATTATGTTAGGGGTAAAATTGGAAGTACGTATCATAACATTAAAAACGGTTCTTTTGGTCTGATATGAATTCATCAGAAAACAGACGCGGGCTCTATTTACTGTTGCCGAAAATAAATTTGTGTGAATTAAATACAAATTTTAATTTATACACAAATTAAGAAGCTTCTGGAAGAAATTATTCAACGATTGTCGGTATTAATTCTTTTGCAATTTTTCCTTCTCGCCAAGGCCATTTGTTGTTTACAGCCTGTTTAATGACATTTTCCTGGGTCAGGTTTGATATTCAGAGCCGTCGGATTATGCAATGCATGGCCCACAAACGATTAAGATTTCATGTGTACAACCCAAGAAGTGTAGGGTTATTTTCAAAAGTGAAGTGAAAAAAAAAAATACAAGTTTACATGTACCAATCTTTCAAAAAAAAAAAAAAGGGTCCAAGAGCAACGCAAAGATGATTAATTCTTGAACGGAAAAAGTAAAGAGTACAATTTTTATAGTGTAATTTATGTGGATTATCAAGGTAAATTGAATCAACTCATCAGGTTTCTATTTAAGATTACCATGAGAAGGGAACGATTTATTTAAAAATGCAGAAAGAAAAAAATAGAAGTGTTCGATACCAACCTTAATCGGGTGATTCACGTTTACAGAATAATGCGGAATTTTGTGAACTCCTTGATAAAACAAGCAAGAAAATTATACTTGCATAGAATTTCATTATGGATTCATTATTCAAATCTTGTTAACGGGTCCTAAATTTTGTAATTCATTTGTAGTTTCTGGTAATTTGTTGTCACTTGATAATATAATCTGCGTTTATCTTAGAGTTTTTCTTAATATTGGGAAATAACATGAATTTTTCTCTGCAGTTTATTTAATTGAACAAGCTTCCCACCCCAACTTGAAATACTGATATATATGTGGCATTAGTTTATCATTATATTTCATCAAAAATTTCTCTATCTTTATCATTTGATGTTTTATGCTGATTTGTTCATTTTTAGTGGTTGTAATAAGATTTTTCAATGACGGGAAATAATTAAGGAATTTCGTCATAGTTGTACAGTCAAGGCAATAGTTGCCGAATTGTCCAAAAAAGCGACGATGTCCAACTTGTGGCGAGAGGTTTGTGAAATGAATGGAGGTGGATAAGAAGACTGTAACACGTGGTTATTCTATTTTTGCAGTAGAGATTATGAATATTTCAATTAAGAGTGATTTGGTGTCCAAAAGAAAGTGCAATTTGAAGGTCAATTCAGCGGTGTTAATAACAAAGTTGATTCAACAGGTGTTTATTTGGGTAAATATGAGCCTAAAGATCCAATTGAAGATTTGTCATTTTTATTCAGAACATTTTGCTTTTCGAAGAAGAAAATGTGGACATATGAAAGAGAATGTAAAAAGGAAAGGGAAGAGATTTTTGAAAAGTCTATAATTTAAATTTGTATTCTAAAATTCCAGTACCTTTAAGAATGATTTCTACCCATGGTGGGTAGGAGTTATCTTGTCCACTACCAAGGTGACAAACCACTTTAATAGTTAAACCAATAATTTTTGACAACTCAATGTTGAATTGTCAAAAATTGTAGGTTTACCTTTGTTTCAAAGCATCACAAATGATCTCCTACCCATAACGGATAAGAATTATTTTGCCCTCTTCTGATGTGGCGACGCTACTTTAACGATCAAGCCTACAATTTTTAGAAGTTAATTTTTAAATTAAGTAAATTTTTAGTTATTGTATTTTTTTATAAGAAAACTTTACATATAATTTTTGTCTTATAAAATAATTATTTTAGAGATGATAAAATTGGAAGAAAAAAATTAAAAAAATGGTAAAAAAAAAAAATCAACGATTTGATGACTTGAGAAATATGACCAAAATTACCCATTTACGTGTATAAATAGACTAACTTGTTCTACTTATTGAGAGGATAATTGTGATATATTTGGATTTACAAAATCAATTCCGAATGAATGAGAAATTAATGTTGCCTATATAAGCTGACTACTTGAGCGGTTGCCTCGCGTGCAGCGAGTGCCAACTCTCTGAAAGACACTCGAGCGGTGTGATGGGTGGCCACTGAGTTGTCAAAGGGCTGTATCTTTTCGTGAAACATGTTGAACTCCCTTGGTAGTATAAATTCATTCCATATCACGTCTTGATATTACATCAAAGTACTCCAAAAATTCTTGATTTTTTTGCATAAAAAATCATTCAAAGTAGAGAGTAAAAACCATTTTCGAGTTCATTATTCCTTGAAGTCTGAAGTGTTTCTACTGCAAGGAGAAATCGTTGTATCTTAGGAGACAATTCCCAAGAATCCATAAGCAACTTGGCGGGGTATTTTTGTCTTAAAGCGTTAAACACTAGCCTCGGTTTACAAGTAAGTGTGAAGCAACATTTTATTCTTTCATTTTTCATCGCTGCAATTCGTTTTTTCCATTCCAATTAAGTGGCTTCGTTTTGTTTAATATTCTAGAATATAATTAGCATATTCGCCACACATAATCACCAACAATTTTAAGACAAATTTCTTCTTGTATAGTTGTGTGCATATTATATTTTGTTATAATAACGAATTCAATTTGTGAATTCTGTCTTGGAATACGAATGCTTAATGCATACAAACTCATGGTATAATTAAGTTCTGCTAGTGCTTTGATTTGGCAATAGATCAAAATGCATGTGAATTAAGTACATTAAAATTCATGTATAAAGTTTTAGTAACTTTGCCAATTGTACATTTAAAGAAATTCAGATGTGAACTATATATTATGATTGGTTTTTTGACATGGTACAGTTCATTTGTTGGTATCCTTGAGGAATAAAAGCATGACTCTTAGTTTCCTATTTTGCTTTTATTTCATACTTTAAGTCTAATTTCGATTCGGTTCATGTTATTAGATGAAAGTCTGTTGACTTGCATTTTTTTTTTCTTTTTGAAGTTTTTTTGCAACAATGTCTTTGATCACACTGTGGGGAAGGGAAATAATAAGACCCACAATGGAATTGTGCCTCTGTCAAACTCCATATCATGATTGTGTCTATGGGTGGCGTGGCTGGACAATGCATTTGGAAGATATATAATGTTCTTTTTTGTGGAAAAGAAAGCATGTAATGAGGAGGCAAATAAGTATCTTTCTCCCTATTTTTATATATCATTGCTGACTTGCAGTTATTGATAAATGAGGCAGACATACGCCATGCCTACTAGACAAGGCACAATAGAATGAATAGGAAAGGAGAAAACTACTCCTAACCATTGGACACGTACAAATGTTTGGAAATATGCCAACTATTTGTTGAAAGTATATGAACTTTCGTCGAAACGTCTCAAAAGACAGTTTACTCTTCAATAACTTCATGACTATTCATTTTTTTTGGAATACGGTGGATTACATGCTAAACAAGGTGAATATGTGCCTTTGTTGTTTGAAATGAAATTATACATATTGAAACTAAACGGCACTATCCACTTGGAACTAATTCGTGAAATGTCACAAGATTGATAAGTTGCATATATTCAAAAAAGTTGCAATTCTTGTGCATCAAGATGCTCAGCCTTCTTCATTGTATATTATAATCTTCCTCTTTCACTTTTTCGCAAGGAAGGAAACATAGAAAGCACTAAAATTGTGTATGGTTATGAACGCATATGTTGGCTTTATTTTTTTTTACCCAATTGCCACATACTGTCTTCAATCTGGAACCAATTAAATTGGTATATAG